GACATTGGCCAAGGACAAGGAAATAGGCTTCAGGCAGGAATCTGACATTAGGCTAGAACAAAGAAGTAATTTTAAGTAGGAATCTAAATCTTAGGCTACAACAAAGAAGTAATCTCAGGGAGAAACCTAAATATTAGGCTAGAACAAAGACGTAGTTTCAGACAGAAATCTAAATTTTAGGCTAGAACAAGGAAGTAGTCTTCAGTCATGAAAATGACCTTGGGCTAAGACAGGGAAGTAGGCTCAGATACTTTGGTCATCCTGATAAGCCCCTAGAAACAGTGATTATAGGAGTGTTCACATAATTGGGTTTAATGCTTTGCTTGTTCTTTTACTATTTGTGTTTATTGTATTGTTTTTTTCCTTGACTATTTGCATCTATTGTGTTGCTAGGCCCTCAACCAAATGGTATAAAAGCATAAAGGAGGATGGAGATGGGATAGGGGCTTCTAGGGAGGGAAAATGGGATGATATATGTATTGTAAAAAATAAAATATCCAATAAAAATGATATTGGGGATACATATCTCCTTTGGATCCAGTGTCTACACAGTTCTAGAAAGCAGATTCCAGTCCCCTCAGCTGAGGATGGTGACCAGCAATTATAGCAAGCTCTGCCTCCATCAGCACAGAGGCTGTTTCAGGATCACTTCCAGTACAGGAAGTTTGTTTTTTTTTTCTAATAGCCATGATCTTTTGAAAGTGAGCAAAAGCTGGCTGTGGTTTAACTGCTCCTATGTTGTCTTCTAACGCCTTAGCCACATTTTGTGCTGCCCCAAACAGAGGAGGTTTGACTTTAACCATTTTCCAGGAAGCAACCACATAGACAAAGCTGATAACCAAATGAAGCTTGAGAAAGTAAAACTGCTTTGAGCTACAGCAGAGGCTTTCCATCTCTCTGCCCCCAGCACTCACTACGGAAGCTCTAGGCTGCCCATGTGAACTCCAACAGGAGGGTGCTAAGAGGTTTTACACTACAAGAGACATGGCCTGGTGTTATTGACCAATGATATCAGCCATACAATACTTGTGCCAATTGATAGTTCCCAGTTATGGCATCTGTTTCCTAGTGCAGACATAGCCATGGTTCTGTTTAGAGGCTAGGAACAGGTACTGGAGAGGTCTAGTCAGTTCAAGAGCATCAGGAAGTAGATCTAAATACAATTTCATCTTTTTTATTATTAGGAAATTTTTCTGTGTGTGTTTTTATGTATGTATATATGTATGTTTTATGTATATATGTATGTATGTATGTATGTATGTATGTATGTATTCCTGTATGTATTTATAGTCCAAATACTGCCATCCTCTCAGTTCTTCTTCACAGACTATCTCCCCTTACCTCCTTTCTCCTCTGAGAATGTGGGACCTCCCTAGCTATTCCCCCACCCTGGTGCATCAAGTCTTTGCAGGACTAAGACATATCCTCTCCCTTGGAGCCCAGACAAGGCAGTGCTGTTGGGGAATGGATACTATAGTCAGGCTATAGCTTTAGGGGAGAGTCTCTGCTCTAGATGTTGTGGACCCACATGGAGACTGAACTGTACATCTGCTACATATGTGCCATGTATGTGGCCTGTGTATGCCCTTTGGTTGGTGGCTCATTCTCTAAGAGGTCCTAGACATCTAGATTAGTTGCCTTTGTTGGTCTTACAGGGAGGTTCCTATCCCCTTCAAGGTCTTTGATCCTTCCCCCAACTCTTCCATAAGGGTCCCCAAGCTCTGTCCAGTGTTTGGTTTTGGGTATCTGGATCTGTCAGCTGCTAGCTAGGTAGAGCCTCTCAGAGGACAGCCATGATAGACTCCTGTTGGGAAGCATAACAGAGTATCATTAATAATGTCAGGATTGGTGCTTGACCTTGGGATGGGTCTCAAGTTGGGCCAGTTTTTGGTTGGCCATTCCATCAGTCTCTGCTCCATCTTTGTATTCATATTTCTTTTTGATAGGATACATTTTGGGTTGAAAGTCTTGTGGGTGGGTTGGTGTCCTGATCTCCTCTGAGGATACTACTGGCTACAGGAGGTGGCCTCTTCAGGTTCCATGTCGTCACTGCCAGGCCTCTTGGCTAAGGTCACCTGCCTTGATTCCTGGGAGCCACCTCAATCTCAAGTCTCTGAGACTTTCTAGAGACTCTCCCCTCCTCCCCCTGCATCTGCATATTTCCATTCATTCTCCTGGCCTTTTGGGCCTCTCTCCTGTCTCTCCCCACCTCTGATCCAGCCTCCCCATTTCCCTTCCATTCCCCTCTGCCACTCAGGTCCCTCCTTCTCTCTGCTACACCTGCAAAATTAATGAGTTCCTTGTTTTTAATAGGTGTATAGTATTTCATTGTGTAAATGAACCACATTCTCTGTATCCATCATTCTACTGAGGGACATCTGGGTTGCTTCCGGTTTCTATTATAGATAAGGCTTCTATGAACATAGTGGAGCAATGTGTACTTGTGATATTGGAGAGCATCTTTGGGGTATATGCCCAATAGTTGGATCTTTAGGTAAAATTATCTATTTCTAATTTTCTGACAAACTACCAGATTGATTTCCAGAGCAGTTGTACAAGTTTGTAATTCCACCAGCAATGGAAGAGTGTTCGTGTTCCTCCTTTTTCACATCCTTACCAGCATGTGCTATCAATTGTGTGAGGATGTGGAGATAGTTCATCATCTTAAACCTGTATATTCTTGTTGCTTTTTCATGCGGAACTCTCCTTGGTTTCACAGAAACTGTAGTTGATTGTTGAAAACCCCACATTTTAAGTTAAAAATATAAATAAAGAGATCACTTCCTTAATCCATTTTGAGCACAATAGTGAAAGGAGGTTTGCTTAAAGAATAGATTGTTTCCATCCTACAAACCTATACTATACTATACTATACTATACTATACTATACTATACTATACTATACTATACTATACTA